CTGGGGTTCGATTCCCCGAATAGATGTGAAAAGGTATGGGGTCACCTGCCCAACCATATGGCTTTTCACCAGATGCTTTAGTTTCCTCCCACATTATAAAGACTCCTCGCATGATTACATCAGGGCTGACAGGAGTGATAAAAAATAGGTTGAAATTTCTGCTATCATAATCGTTGTAAAATAAACAAACTTTATATAACCGAAGGCTGTCTTTGCATGATTATTGACAAATATCATTAATTTAACAGGAAAATACTTTTTTAAAGCCTGTACGCTAAAAAGTGGGTCACATGGTATAAACTCTGCCTAAATACAGTGATGTATACAGTCCAAGTCCTGTTCTGACTTTTAGCTCATTATTTAACACGTTATCTGATATGATAAATCTGAATTGACACATCGTTACAGTAATACCATGGTGCTAAACTTATCGATTTCAAGGATTAGTGGTACAGGCAAAGCCAACCAAATTTTATGATTCTGTTGTGCATCATACAATTTGCTGAAAATCAATTATAATAAACCAATGTCTCTGTATATTGATTTATATATCAAGCTGTATCCAAATATATCTAAAAGTAGTGGGACATGCATCACACCAAAACAAAAACACATTAAAGGTATAGGAAGTTTCCAAAATATCCTATTTACTCAACCAATGGACAAAAACCTGAATTGACTCCACCTGTGCATGCACATGACAAGCATCAAAAGAGAAACAAGATGTAAAGGGTTCTGTCTCATACTGTATACTTTACAGGGTAAAGGTATGAGTAAGCTGTGAAGGTTTCTGTCTCATACTGTACACTTTACACATGGTAAAGGTATGAGTAAGCTGTTAAGGTTTCTGTCTCATACTGTACTCTTTACATAGTAAAGGTATGAGTAAGCTGTGAAGGTTTCTGTCTCATACTGTACACTTTACACATGGTAAAGGTATGAGTAAGCTGTGAAGGTTTCTGTCTCATACTGTACACTTTACACATGGTAAAGGTATGAGTAAGCTGTGAAGGTTTCTGTCTCATACTGTACACTTTACACATGGTAAAGGTATGAGTAAGCTGTGAAGGTTTCTGTCTCATACTGTACACTTTACACATGGTAAAGGTATGAGTAAGCTGTGAAGGTTTCTGTCTCATACTGTACACTTTACACATGGTAAAGGTATGAGTAAGCTGTGAAGGTTTCTGTCTCATACTGTACACTTTACACATGGTAAAGGTATGAGTAAGCTGTGAAGGTTTCTGTCTCATACTGTACACTTTACACATGGTAAAGGTATGAGTAAGCTGTGAAGGTTTCTGTCTCATACTGTACACTTTACACATGGTAAAGGTATGAGTAAGCTGTGAAGGTTTCTGTCTCATACTGTACACTTTACACATGGTAAAGGTATGAGTAAGCTGTGAAGGTTTCTGTCTCATACTGTACACTTTACACATGGTAAAGGTATGAGTAAGCTGTGAAGGTTTCTGTCTCATACTGTACACTTTACACATGGTAAAGGTATGAGTAAGCTGTGAAGGTTTCTGTCTCATACTGTACACTTTACACATGGTAAAGGTATGAGTAAGCTGTAAAGGGTTCTGTCTCATACTGTACACTTTACATAGTAAAGGTATGAGTAAGCTGTGAAGGTTTCTGTCTCATACTGTACACTTTACACATGGTAAAGGTATGAGTAAGCTGTTATTAGGGTTCTGTCTCACACTCTATACTTTACAGAGTAAAGGTATGAGTAAGCTGTTAAGGTTTCTGTCTCACAGGTATATATGAGTAGACTGTTAAGGTTTCTGTCTCGCAGGTATAAGTAAGCTGTTAAGTGCTGATGGAGTGACAGTTATATGGTATACTACAAACAGCCAATAGCATTATCTTTATCAATTTTTTGCTCAAGCTCAATTACCTAAACCTGAAACCCTCTAATGAACAATTAAGCATATCTGAAATCTTATACATGTAACCATGTTTGCATAATAGACATTTTAAGTATGATAAAATGATATACATATCGTACAGTACTGCTTATTAAACGCAAAGACTGAATATTGCTTATGTAACACACAGACTGTACACTGCCTATTTGACACAAAGACTATTTATATACTCTGCTTATTTAACACAAAGACTGAGCATTGCTTATTTAACACAAAGACTGAGCATTGCTTATTTAACACAAAGACTGAGCATTGCTTATTTAACACAAAGAGTGACAGACTATACTCTGCTTATTTAACACACAGACTGTACACTGCTTATTTAACACAAAGACTGTACACTGTTTATTTAAAACAAAGACAGTACACTGCTTATAATTATTTAACACATAGACTGTACACTGCTTATTTAACATAGACTGTATACTGCTTATTTAACACATAGACTATACACTGCTTCAGCTTGGTGTGAGTTATTTTCCCTGGAGAATCCAACACACCTGTAACATGAACAATACACTCAATATTTCTCTAATTACTTTGAGACACACCTGAGGAAGTAAGCTGTGGCTGACATTATAACTGGCAGTTTCCAATTACCGTGTACACCCTAACACCCATGGTGAATTATGTATCATGAACCACTTTACATCATCAGAAACATTAGCTTGGTATATAACTGTCAGCTAACTATCACAGAGTACACACCTCTGAAGGACAAGTACCCGGTAGGTGTAATCGTTGTGACAGGCGTTATGCAGTCAGTATTTGCATCCAAGGAAACTGCAGAAGTTCCATACAAGCATTTGCTCTGGGTGATGCAAGTGATGTTTCAATCAAATGAAGCTATTATGGAATCTAGAGAGGATGTGTTACATTTAATGATGTTAATGCAGATTGTTTCTTATCACACAATTAAAGGACAGGTAAATTCTTCCACAGGTATTTGTGACCGTGGGGTCAGTTTATATTAACTGTTATGTTTTCTTATGACTTCTTTGGTCAGTTTAACAGGTATGTGTACTTTTGACCACTTATAATGGTCAGTTTAACAGGTATTTGTACTTGTGACCTCTGTAGTCAGTTAAACAGGTATGTGTACTTGTGACCTCTATGGTCAGTTTACATTTAACAGGTATATATACTTGTGACCACTCAATGGTCAGTTTAACAACTATGTGTATGTGTGACCTCTTTGGTCAGTTTAACAGGTATGTGTACTTTTGAACACTTTCTATGGTTTCAGTATCCTTAACTTGGTTTGAAGTATAACTTTGCTGTCAGTATCCTGCACTTGGTTTAGGTATAACTATGCTGTCAGTATCGTTAACTTGGGTTAGGTATAACTGTACTGTCAGTAATGTTAACTTGGTTTAGGTATAACTATGCTGTCAGTATCCTTAACTTGGTTTAGGTATAACTATACTGTCAGTATCGTTAACTTGGTTTAGGTATAACTATGCTGCTCGTATCCTTAACTTGGTTTAGGTATAACTGTACTGTCAGTATCGTTAACTTGGTTTAGGTATAACTTTGCTGTCAGTATCGTTAACTTAGTTTAGGTATAACTGTCTGTCAGTATCCTTAACTTGGTTTAGGTATAACTATGCTGTCAGTATCGTTAACTTGGTTTAGGTATAACTATGCTGTCAGTATCCTTAAATTTAAGTTCAGTAGTTACCAACATCTAATCCTGTGCTTTTCAATCAGATGTATTTCCGAAAAGTTTCTAGGAAGAGTTGTTTAAGATAATCAGGGTCCCCCTACATCATTTAACTTCTGAAGTACTTAGTGCAGATGGAATGGTGATTAGATTTCAAAAAGAGCTAGATTTTTGTTACATGAACTTGTTTCCTTTAGTACTAGGGCATTAAGTACTAATATACGGAATCACGAGAAAATACCAAGAAAATAAATAATCATATTATGCTTCAATCTATTTTGAATTAAATTTCAAAATTAGGTTAAAATTGAAGCATAACCATTGATTCAATTTGGTTGTGTTTCGATTTTACTTTACATGTGACATTTAACTGCACCCTAATCCAATAACTGCTTAGCAATTACTTAGTTTTGAGAAGTAGAAAGTGGATGATAATTTATTTACTACAGCAGGCACAAACCATTGGTTTCATTGCAAACAATAATCTTATCAAAAAGCACATCCCAACTAACATATAAAGGATCTTACATGAGTTTCCATTTCATATGAGATATATGAAACGAGTCCAAGAGCTTTTCAATATGAGGCGAGCTAAAGTGAAAAATCCGTAACAAGTTTCATAAATTCCATATGAAATGAAAATGAGTGTAATATCCTTTATATCACATAATCAAGTTTTGTGGCATTTAATTGTGTAAAACGACAATTTTCATGCAACCTTTTAATGTTATTAACATTAGCTGCCATTTTAACTCCAGTGCGTAAGTCTGTGATGTCATGTACTTGTCTTAGGCGTGATGTCACAATTAAAAGAATTGAAACTTAATTACAACTAATCACAGGGCTGATAGGTCATATTACATGGGTAAATTCACTGGATAACGCAGTACATTTTATGATAAATTAGACTTCAGCATATTCTCCATGTATTTCAATAAAAAGATTAAATGCTGACCTTTGTAACTACAACACACCTCTTCATACCATTTGTAAAAGTTTCAGGTTTGCCTTTCCTACTACAATGGGTATTTGTTTTACACATTAGCAATATAACAATTATTCTTACGTGGTATATAAAGAATGTAATGCCGTGAGCATACACTTATTTAAGTACACTCAAATTGTTGGGTATTTTCAAACTTTGACTGGTTAGTGAATTGATGAGTTGGTGCATCCATGTAATAAGCTTTAGAAAACAATAAAAACTTCCATTGGCAATCATAATTTTGCACAATATTTTCAGCATGAAAACACTTAAATATGACGACTGCTAAAACAGGTACGTTTATGTTAATTCTACTAATTGCACAGATACACTATCATTTTTAGAATGTAATCACCATCAATATGGTATTACAACTTTGCCATATTTTTTAAAAGTCTGTTTCTTGTCATTTCAGGTCATGACTGGTTATAGAGTTTCCAGCAGAGACTCATCTACAAAATGAAGATCATCTGGAATTGGACACGGTGATAGATTTGTACCCGAATAAATATTCCACTGACTGCAAGTTTAGATTATTGTGAGTTTAGAGTTATCCCCCTTCATGACTACATCCTGTGATATTTCCGTACAAGTGTTTGCCAGATTGAGATGATTCCAGACCATTTGACAATGGAATCAAGTCAGGCCCCATCATACATGGAAACTGTTCAAGTGACATCTTCTACCACCTCCAGCATCCACGTAGCCTGGGAGGTGAGCCAGGACATGAGCGCTCACGTGGAGGGCTTTCGTGTCCACTACCAGAAAGTCGCTAGCACATACATACAGTATGGACCAATGTTATCAGCATCAATTGGACAATACAGCATACAGAATCTAGTGGCAGATACCTACTACAAAGTCTGTCTTGTGATGTACCGTAACGACACCCAGCCAATTCGTGAGTGTGTGGACGCCTCTACAACTAACTGGCACATTCCGGTGTCTATTGGCAGCAGTATCGGGGCCATCCTGGCTCTGTCCATGATCGTACTTGTGGTTCTTGTGTCTCGATGTCCATCAGTGGTCAAGTGGCGTGGTAAACAGTACAAAAAATCACAGAAATATGACAGCATGTCATCACATTACCATGACGATCATTTTGAATTTAGTGACACAGCAACACATGGACACGAAGACGAATTTGTGTCGGAGTTTGATCCGTGTAATGAAACATACTCCTTTGAAAATGCTCATAACAACGGTCATCCAAAAGAACATCGAACAACAGAAAAAATGTGTAATGGAAACAGAAATCATGTTCCTAGTATATCTCACTCACAGCAGATGAAGCACATGGGTGCCCGACCAAAGGTCTACATCCCCAGTCACTACTCCCATCATTCCTACCACGGACATCACACCGCCTCAAGCCTAGCACATTCCATCGAACGTCAGCAGAGCCTCGATCTGGGTCACAGAGAAGACCTTAATCACAACCACCATCACAGTTCTGGGGTGGCACATACAAGCCCTGTGCAGTCCTATGGGCCAGCAGAGCTCGAGTCCAGCTCCATGTATGTTCACGCAGACGAAGTTAAGGAGAAGATTGTGCACAATGAGGCTCGTGCTTCCAGCCCACCAATTACAATACTGCAAAGCGCAACAGACTATGAAATGAAGGAGATCAAAAAGGCATGTTCTCAGGAAAATTGTGTGGCTGGGAGCATAGATCGCCACAGTCAGGAGGAACACATGCTGTAGAAGTACAAGTGTCTATAGTTGTTATATGAAAATTGTCTGATGTTTTTATACACTGAAAAAGCCTCTATACCTTTCAATAAGCTCATCATCATTAATTGATAAACATGAAACTGGAAACAATGTATTAAAGGATATGGGATGTACAATCATATCCTTGTCATTTGATTATCATGTGAACACAAACTTGTGTGAGGTAACACTACTGGTTACCATTAAAGTTGATGTTTGTGACAAACACAATATGATTTAATTTCCTTTATATCGTGTTACATCTATCAGGGGAATTTGTTATTCCAGTGATTGTACACCACACTTCGTGGAAGTGATGGAGGCTACGTGGAAGTGATGGAGGCTACGTGGAAGTGATTGAGGCTACGCGGAAGTGATGGAGGCTACGTGGAAGTGATTGAGGCTACGTGGAAGTGATGGAAGCTACGTGGAAGTGATGGAGGCTACGTGGAAGTGATGGAGGCTACGGGGAAGTGATGGAGGCTACGTGGAAGTGATGGAGGCTACGTGGAAGTGATGGAGGCTACGTGGAAGTGATGGAGGCTACGGGGAAGTGATGGAGGCTACGTGGAAGTGATGGAGGCTACGGGGAAGTGATGGAGGCTACGTGGAAGTGATGGAGGCTACGGGGAAGTGATGGAGGCTACGGGGAAGTGATGGAGGCTACGTGGAAGTGATGGAGGCTACGGGGAAGTGATTGAGGCTACGGGGAAGTGATGGAGGCTACAGGGAAGTGATGGAGGCTACGTGGAAGTGATGGAGGCTACGGGGAAGTGATTGAGGCTACGGGGAAGTGATGGAGGCTACAGGGAAGTGATGGAGGCTACGTGGAAGTGATGGAGGCTACGGGGAAGTGATTGAGGCTACGGGGAAGTGATGGAGGCTACGTGGAAGTGATGGAGGCTACGTGGAAGTGATGGAGGCTATGTGGAAGTGATGGAGGCTACGGGGAAGTGATGGAGGCTACGGGGAAGTGATTGAGGCTACAGGGAAGTGATGGAGGCTACAGGGAAGTGATGGAGGCTACGGGGAAGTGATGGAGGCTACGGGGAAGTGATGGAGGCTACGTGGAAAGGCAATACTAATCAGGATCAAACTAACGATGTGTGTTAATTGACATTTCACGATACCTCACAATTGGATCTAACTGACAACAGCGAAGGTGATAGAATATCTAAAGTTATGATAGGCAAGATGATTGAATGGCATTAAACAAAACCAATATACCAGATAGTGTTAACAATGATATATATATATATCTAATACTCGGACAGAAGAGATGGTAATCATGAATATAGGGGTGATCTGGGTAAATTGACTGCCTACATACAGAATCTATATATAGAATACAGCATGGACATACATTGCCTCCAAACATATTATATTACATTTAGTGGGGACATACATAAACTGCTCACATTTTGCTAAAGATCACTTTTATTTTAGGGCATATGTGAAAATAAATATTTCATTTGGTTTATACTGAGATTGTTTTTGAAAAATTGATTGTTCTTTTAATTAATCAGCATGCAAAAATTCCAAAAATCGTAATTAGTCGGAAAATGAGCCACAGGAAAAGGCTTACCCTTAAAAATTGGTAACAACGAGGTATTCACTAAAAAACTTAAATTGAATAAAACTCGTCCTAAATAACTGAAACTGACCGTAGTCTGGCATCAAGGATTTCATCGCAGTAAATCCGGGCCGTAACGGTACCATAACATGCATGGAGTTCAGTTTTCCCATGAAGGCTTTAATGCCTCCCCACACCATCGCTGAACCTCCGTCATATCGGTCATGTTCCACAACGTTACCTGCCTAGAACCTCTCCCCAGGTTGTCTCCATACTCTAACACGCCTGTCGCTGAAGTCGAGACAGAATCTGGACTCGTCAGTAAAAAGAATCTATTCCCATTCCTGAAGAGTCCAAGTGCTGTGAGCTTGGGCCCAATCTAATCGGTCCCTAACATGACGGGCAGTTAAGGGAACTCGTATTGCTGGTCTACATGACCTTAAACCAGCATCAAGAAGATGGTTCCTAACTGTCTGAGTGGCTACCCGGGTATTAGAAGCATTTAGGAGGTCATTTCGTAAAGCTTTGGCAGTCTGGAACCTGTGACGCCGTGCCTGTATGAGCAAGCCATGCCTGTATGAGCAAAAACGACCTCCAGCATGACATCTGTAAGGGTTTCCGTTAGTTTGGAAACTATTCCACATTCTTGCGAACACACTTTGAGACACCCCAAGGTCTGCTGCAACCTGACATTGAGACATGCTAGCTTGCAGCATTCCGATGCCCCTATTTATTTCACCGTCATTTAACCGTAGTCTGGTTCGTCTTTGTGCTATATTAAAACAAAAACATGCAAAGAATATTCATCAAATTGATTCCCCAATTTGAACAACGCCTTACTTAGCCTAGCTTAGCTTTTGAAAGGGGTGTACATGTGGAAAAGCGTGCACACGCTTTTATGGCTGACTGTACAACCCACACAGGACGATTTGCAAGGCTAACATATTTGCCCAAGACAGTACGGAAGGAAAATATTGATCGTTCCTAACATTTTGATTTGTTTTCAAAATATAGGTAATCCTCAGCAAAATGTGAGTAGTACATTATATTACATTCAGCTGAAACATACATTGGCTCCTAATTAAACGATGTGTTGTTCTACACTCAGCATATATATACATTTTGCTCAATTTGGAACATTATATTCAGCCAGGACAAACATATGGTACTTTCAGCAGGAACAAATGTATTGTATTACATGCAACAAGGACATGTAGTGTCTCTGTACAAATTATATCTCATCATCAAGGGACACAGATTGCCACCATATATATATTACATACTGACAGAAGCTGAAACACATGTTTTCTCCACACAAAAGACACACACATATTTGATACATTTTCTGGTTGTTGTAACTTCAGGCAACAGATCTAGAGACAGACATTTTCTGTAACTTAAGTCGCTGCACAGACGCGAGTGATCCTGCCTCCACTGAGTTGCTAGTACAGAAAACAGACATTTTGATTGCTTCTGCACATAAACACAATGATTGCCTACACAAAGGTCTGGAGTTGTACTGACTGCCACCACGCACAGACATCAAGATACCTTCCACACCATTCCTTTGCAGAGACGTTGCCTCTAAATTTGATATTGTAGATAAATGATATCCACATTGCCCAGTTTCTATAAGCTATGTGATATGTATAAGTTTCTTACTTTTATAGAAGAAACTATCTGTAACATGTTGTATATCATATTGATGATCAGTCAGATTTTATGTTTTCTTTCATTATTTCCTTCAAATTATTGCTGTAAATTGATTGTGTACATAATATTGTGACTGACATATCAGAAATCATTTTATTTGTCTTATCTTTCATGACAAATGGTTTGTGATAGACATCAGACTACTTGGCTATGTTTTCAAACTTGCCTTAAATTATTTTTTAATAATAATGATAATTTAACACAAAATTTCAATTTTGTAAACATTCAAAAATCCTGAAATTCCAAGCTAAAATTACATGTACATTGTGTATTGATTCAAAATTACTGTTCAATGAAAAAAACTGAGGAGATTTATAAAATCAGTTGATAATTTTGAAATGTTTGCATTATTTCAGATATTACTCGTCATGTATTTGGGGTTAAAAGTTGTCTCCTTTTATTTAATTTGTATGCTGAAATAATTCAGAATTGTAATATGTAATGCATTACATAATCCTTGTTTACTTTTCAAATATGTCATCAGTTCATTAACCAAGTGATCACTCATTGAATAAACTTAAGTGTTGAATTCTTTAAAAAGTGTACACAGCATATACCCTTAATTCAAATGTATGTGACTCATATGACAATGAATAATGTCTTAAGCAAATAACACAGGAAGAGTAGAATTGACAGGAGTCTGTTCATAAAGATTTGTTGATTTGAATATTTCTATTTACTGAGAGATCTATAGCTGAATCAATAATGAAGGGTTAAGTTTCTGGGATATTACTGATTTAGTTTTATAGGAAGAATTGGTTTGGTTTAATTTTGTTTAACGTCCTATTAACAGCTAAGGTCATTTAAGGACGTTTTTACAGGAAGATTTGTAGCTCTGTAGATGTAGTAAAGAGAGTGTTGTTATTTTCTTTCTTTTTAAATACATTTTGTTAAGAAGAAAATGAAGTATGAATACTATTGTTCAATGTTGGTGGTGGTGGTGGTGAAGCTCTTACAACATTTTTGACACGCTTGGTAAACCCAGTCCCAGGTTAACAATATAACTTACATTAGACTTATGGTAAACCCAGTCCCAGGTTAACAATATAACTTACATTAGACTTATGGTAAACCCAGCACCAGGTTAACAATATAACTTACATAAGACTTATGCTGAACCCAGTCCCAAGTTAGATCCAGTAAATGTTAAACTCTCAAACACGATTACCACATTAGACCCCGGTTCAATTCAGACCCGTAATAGACCCAAGTTAAACTTCCTAACGTTAGACTTTGGTCAAACCCGGACACATACAGGTTACCGGTGTAGCATGGTATTATGAAGCATGGTGAAATGAACCGCGGTTCATATTACCATAATGGTGAATATGAACCGCCCCGTGGTGAAATGAAGGGTTCCGTCTATTTATATTCAAACTTTTTTCTATTCATTTTCTTTAAGTTTACTTCAACTTGATGTATTCTATCTGAAAACCACAAAAATTATGTCTGAGGTAGAGAAATCTAGGGTGGGGCAGGGCGCTTCACTTTACCATAATGGTGAAATGAAGGGTTTAAACATTTTTTTTTCTTTTTGACTTTTTTAAACCAAATCCATTTAGATTACATCAGTTTGATGTCCTGAATATGAAAATTACAAAAATTAAGTCTGGGGTAGAGAAATTTAGGGAGGGGCAGGGGCACTTCACTTTATCACACTGGATCTCATTACAATAGTATACATGTCAGTCCTGGTACAGCTAGGGTACAGGGTTCCTTAAGGCCATTACCATAAAGCAGAATATTTTGGTTTCACTTTGCCTATATTTTAGATTATCCCCACATTGGTTATTTTAAACTTGGTGCATTATATTTTGTGGTTTTTTTTAGGTTCTGACAGGTTTCATTTTTGTTTTAATACTGCAACACTATAGGCAAAAGGTTTAGATTTTATTCCTTAATTTACGCAATCAATAGGAAATGACAAAAGCGAAAGATGAACACTGCATTAGTTTAAATATCAGTACAAAGGTATAAGTAATTTATTATCTAATTGTATAGGTCACCATGGTTACGGACCTGTTTATTATCTCCTGTTATAACAATCACTGTGTGGTCCCTAGTTTGGTGACTGCCTACCACTGTGTATTGCCTGGTTGCATAATTTTACAGGTCACCATGGTTACGGACCTGTTTATTATCTCCTGTTATTACAATCACTGTGTGGTCCCTAGTTTGGTGACTGCCTACTACTGTGTGTTGCCTGGTTGCATAATTGTATAGGTCACCATGGTTATATATGGACAATCCACATTAACAGTTTATATAGACAGAATTGAGTGCGAGACAATTTCAGATGAAAACTAACATTTAATATTGGCTGAGGATCACATATATCCTAGTACTATCAACATTTCAGTTCTGAGCTGGCTGAATAATCTACCATGCAGAATTATATCAAGGGCATACAGTATATGTATGAAGAGAAAATGGTCAATAAGGATTAGGGAAATGAGACGTTAAATACTGACTAACAGGTGGTCATACCTGAATATTTTAAGCAAATGTCAAGGCGACAGGTTATTTAATTATGTATATCATTTTGCAACATTTTTTATGAAATCAGATGATTAGGAAGCAGAGGCTTAAAATAGAATGAGGATCATGTAAAAAAAGGTAAATGCTCTAGCTATTAATTATTATAGCTATAGGTGATTAGAGACTAAATTTGTAAAAATCAATGATATGGCTCATGATATGATTTTCAGTGTAAGGTGTAACCATGGCAATGTAGCATTTAAAAGGTAGCAAGCTAATACTCCAATAGAATTACTCCATCCACCAAAACTCATAAAAATATGATATTTTAGGTAATTCATAAGTAATCCCAATGTCTCAAAAAAAACATCCATACAAGAATAATTAAAATAGGACATGTTCATGTGATAATCCCTTAATTTCCTTGCATTAGCTTTTTTCATTTACCTTTTACTACAGGCAAAATGTAATGGCACTTGAGTTAGAAATGTTGGTTAATGATGTGACTGTATTCATTTATGTACATGTACAAGTTCTGGTTGGACATATTGATGAATGGTTCCACACTGGATCACCCGTTTAAACCATCTGCCTGCCTGTCCTTCCTGTAGGATTACCGTTTAAACCATCTGCCTGCCTGTCCTTCCTGTAGGATTACCGATGTATGAGTGAGAGCTCGCTCAGATCAATAGTCTTGTAGAAGGAACAACAAGGTACAGAAGAACCTTGTTAGTTTGTGTTAGCGGGATATTAGTTTCCTAATAGGTCTGGACATTTAAGAATTGTGCTAAAACATGTCAGTACAACTGTAGCGTGTTTGCCACTGGTATGGTGAAATTGGTTCAGTATATACAACATGACTGCCTCAAAAAAAACATATATTGTGCTTTGTTTCTGTAATAGTTTTTTTTTTTTTTTTGTTCAGTTTGACACGTTATAGGGACAAGCAAAATTATTATTTCTTCTGAGAAACAAAATTTATACTCTTTTTCAAGCTTTTTTAATGTTTATTTATAAAGCAATACATTTTGTGATTTGAATATTAAACAGGCTGTACATGTACATAATACCATGGAATTGAGCTTATATTACCTTCTCTTACCTCAGGATTAAGCTCATATTATCTTCCTGTACCTGAGAATTGTGCTTATATTACGCTCCTGTACCTGGAGTTTAGAGCTCATGAAAATTTAGCCCAAATTCCTCCCTAACTTTGGGAATTGAGCTCATATCAATTCCTGGGCCTGGAAATCGAGATCATATTACTTTCCTGTTCACAGGAATCGACAACATTTTATCTTCCTGTACCTTGTAATGGAGATCACTAAATGTTACCTAATAGTGTAACTGACTGACTTTTAATTAGAACCTATTACTCTAAAGCTTCACTGATCAGTTTTTTGTCATAATCCAATATTATCTTAGAGCTATAATTCACTGAGTGGCCATGACTGTTTATCATAAACTAATATTAGCTAAGAGTGTCAATGATTGGCTGTTTATCCAAACCCAATATTACCTTAGACCTTCACTAATTGGTTGTTTATCATATGTGAATTTATGACCTTAGAAATGGATATAATTGATGTAGTCAGCAAGCAGTAAGACTAAATAGGATATTTTTTGAATCCCAGAAAAAAACGAAAAGAAAAAAACCCTTCAACAAATATTTTGTTATCCCTTAAACAATTTATATTGTTTTTTAAATATATTCCTTCATTTGTAATTGTATAGTGAAAAACAACAACTGTTTTAACTTGTTAGGGAAGTGGTGTAAAGTGTTGCTAATTATCCACTGTACGTACCCAGAAACAATGTGATTATTAAACTGTTACCATTCTAGCATTTCCAGTGAGTTCCCTGTCTACTAAATATTGTTGTTACTATGTTTCTATGAATAAAGTCTCTTTTACAAAACAAAATATTTTTGTTCTTGTTATGAGCATTATTGGGTGCATAATGTGTTGTGTGTACCTAAATGGCTTACACCACAATCATCAAATGATCGAGCTCTTCAGAACAACAGACATCCTGTATTTTAATATGAAAAATCTCTTTTCATATAACAAACAAGTCCATTGGAAGGGAATATTCAGAACAAGATTTTTTTCTCTCTTAAAAACAACAAGAGGCCCAATGGGCCTGAATCGCTCACCTGGTATTAATCTCACACTTGTTATCTTAAAAGTGGACTAAAATACAGATACAGTTAATATATCAGTGTTTGATTCAAAAGAATCTATTAAAAGACGTAAACATATGACATATGTGACCTTGAAAGTTGAAGAAGGACATTAAGTTGAACGGACTTTATAGCCTTTTATCCCAGCTTCTGGCCAAATATCATTACTCTGGACTTTAGGTTATTCAGAAATTGTTTAAAGATTTCAACATATTTGACACCTGCGACCTTAAAAATGGATGAAGGTCAAACTTGGTAGCCCTTCATCCTAGTATGCTACTGTCCAAATATCATCATCCAAGGCCTCTTGGTTACTTAGAAGAAGTTATTTAAAGTAAAATGTTGACGACGGATGCTGCACCATGGCATAAGCTTACTTGCCATTCGGAAGGGCAGGTGAGCTAAACAAGAGGCCCATGGGCCTTAACGGTCACCTGATATATTTATACAGAGAGTTGATTTTGTTTTTAACATGAACAGAAATATTATTCAAAGTGACAAAAAACATAAAACCACCTTATTCAATATCTAGCATACAGATTTCAGACTAAAAAGGATTTGAAACTAGCACCTCTGATTCTTAACAAGGAAAATGAAGAAATTTTAGCACACTGACTCCTTTGAGCCCCACCCTACAGCCCTTGGGGGTAGGGCTGGCTCAAAATTTTCAAAGTATCAAACTGTCAATTCAAGGTTATAATTCCAATCAAGTTATTAACATGTAATATTCAAAGTATCATTTGCCATTATAAACCATAATAAATTTTGCCCCCCTCCCCACCCTTTCCCAGGGGGTAAATGTGAGACCCTAGGGTCATAAACCTTAAGACCCTTCCATCTATGAAGAGTATTTGATTCTACCATATCTGGGTCTTGAGAAGAAGATTTTTGAAATTTCAGTAAATTCGACCCTTTTTGGCCCCACCCATCAGCCCCTGGGGGTCAGTCAGGGCTGATATGTGCTTATTATCAAACTGCTACCTAATACTGATAATGCTAACCCAAATTGAATTACTTCCAATGGAAATTAAACAAATATTGGTCCAAAATGTGATTTCCCTATATAAACTATAGTAAAGTTTACCCCCTCCCCAGGGGGAAACGTGAGACCCCAGGGCTTGAAATTCACAATTTCGGTAAAGCACCTTAAGACCCTTCCATCTATGAAGAGTATTTGATTCTACCATATCTGGGTCTTGAGAAGAAGAATTTTGAAATTTTAGTCAATTCGACCCCTTTTTGCCCCGCCCCTCAGGCCCCTGGGGGCTTGGGACTAAACCGGCAACTATTTTTGTTGACCTTTGTCCATGGAAGGTCCCTGCAAAATTTCATTGAAATTGGTTCAGGGGTTTTGGAAAAGAAGTCGAAAATGTAAATTGTTTACGGACGCACGACGGAAGACGGACGACGACGGACAAAAGGCGATCGCAATAGGTCACTTGAGACTTTGTCTCAGGTGACCTAAAAATTAGATGTGCTCTTCCATACAACAGATTTCCTGTCTTTACACAACAAGAGGCCCAGAGGGCCTGTATCGCTCACCTGGATATCTAAGCAATCATGGCAAAATATTCTCCAAATTAGATCCCAGAGATAGGGCCATACCCAAAAGCCAATCTTGTAGCATATCAGTATTTCATTTTTCATGCCCAGCAATTGTACAGCAGTTTGTATGGTTAGGGGTGGAGATCTCAACTGTTTCCAAGTTGTGACTAAGAAACTAGGTTCCTAGAGTTGCGGCCAGACCCTGGGAGGCTGAGGGTCAATTCTAATATCATGACTGCTTCATCTCTTTATGCCAAGAAATTGTATATATAATTTTGGGGTGGGGATCTCAACCGTTTCAAAGTTATGACCAAGGGGTTAAGTCTGCAAGGGTGGGGCAGACC